GCACACCTTCCTAAGGAAAGGATATGGGCCAGAAGACATTGCAATTACTAAATGATATTTAGACTTATATCTATATATAAGAAGTTCCAGATCTATACTTGTGCCCTTATTATTTCAGTTATTTTGCCTTTAATGTAAATAAACATGTGCAAACAATATACTTGCTCTTGTGAATTTATTTGGATGTTAATTACATTGTGCCAGCTGTCTCTTTAATACCGCGTGGTTTACATACATGTTGCTGCTGATTGGGCTGACATGTTTGACACACCCACCAAACAAGAGAAAACGCATCTCAAACCCCGTTGCACACCGTTTCCAGTAAACATGTCGTTCAACCCGGAAACCGTAGCAAAACGGTGCACACCGGTTTGATCTTGAACTTGCCCCAGGTCTCTACCCTGGACATCAGTAATTAGACCTTTTACATTAACAGGCATTTAGAGGTACAATTATAAATTATAATGTTATTTGCAAAATAATGATTTAATGATCATGTTTTTTTAATTATATACACTTTTGGCAATCATACCAGTCAAGTGTGTGCAAATAAAACTAGGAGTTATGCATTCAGCAGGGTTGGAAATTTGCTTGTATATAAAATGTATAATGGGCTAATCCCCAATGTTAGAATGTAGTGATGTTCATCTTGTATAGATTATTTTTCAACTTTTCCTTCATATTAAGATGTACAACTGAGTGTAATGGATTATCGAAATTATAGTTGATATTGAGATGTGTGCTTTTCACTCTAAAATGAATGTAAGCTTGCAGGCGATGGTGGATGAATGGGGTTTTATGCTTATTAATGGTGTTTTCACATATACAGGTATTACATTTTAAATGAACCAAACCCAGTTCAGTTAAAGTCAACTAGATAGAGAACAAGCTGCAAGTGACCTCAGTTCTTTTGATGTTCAAGACAGATGCATTGGAACCACAAAAGGAACGAAAATGAACCGTTCTCAGACCACCTCCTGAGGTGGTCTGTATACAGTTCATTTTTGGGTCTGTTCAGGGGGATCTGAGATCATTTGGGTGTTTGAGTTAAGTGATTTTAATTAAAGATTTCAAGGTCAAAAAGAAAAATATACAGAGATGAATCTTGCATTTAGAAAATAGATAGGAATTTATATTTTTATACAGACTTTAAGGCGCTTTTTTGTGTTTATCAATTGGTGGCTATGCACTGTTGTTTTATGGAACAGTGTAGAGAGTGCACTGATAGAATCAAATAGAATTCAATTTCTATTTTTCAAATCAATTCTAGTTCAAATAGAATGACAGAAATGTCATTTTTCATTTTTGGGTGAACTATCTCTTTAACAAAGAGTCCAAGAGCGGCCTTCCACACTGGAGCTTTATCGAGAGAGAGACTGATGTGATGTAAGATCTTACTGCATGTAAACAACAAAACACAGCAAGTTGGGTTTCTGCCAATAACTATTTAAACTAGACATCTTAGACTGAAGTTTCACAGGAGGCCAGTCTTGGCATGTTGACTGTTTGTGCAATCAAGAAGCCACAAATACAGACATCCTACCCAGACTTTAAGGGCAAGAAGGAGAGAAAACGAGATACCGGAGGCACGGTTTAAAGCTCTGCATTACAGCTCCTTTTGCTGCCCTATTTATGGTGCTATTGGCATGTCATTCAGAATAAACAGTGCATTGAAATACATTAATGAGCACTACAAATATACATTTCTGAGCAAAAAATTAGCTGATTTTGAAAAGAAATGCAGTCGAAATGCATTTCCCTTCTCTGTCTTTTCTCTGCCTCTGATTCTCTCGATCTTTATCTGTCTCTCTCATAGCATACTTTAGTTACCCTTGAGATGGCTGTCTCTCCCTATGAGCATTGTTCTAATTTCTCTGTTATTCATTTGAAGCAGAGGGCCATGGCCCCTGGCCTAACATGCTCTGCATGCAAGTTCAGGCGGGCATTTCACATTCTGCCCTGCACATCTTTGTGTACAAAATGCCCACCGCACAGATTTCAGGGGATTCACGAGGCTGATAACCTCGACTTGTTAACCAGAGATGCCAGTCCATCCGGTTTTCAAATTGAAAAGTCTCAGCCAAGCACGAATAAATGTTTCAGTCGTCCCACAGAGGTCTTACCCTACGTAGATCTTGCCTGTCAGCGAGACGATGGACCCATCAAGGACGCAGATGTCATCCTTTTTGTTGCATGCTAATGCTCTGTACAATCCTCCTTAATAAATATCTCCTGTTTCCAGATGTAATTAAGCATGGCTTGGCCACTGATCCATTTTTCAAGGATGGCAGGAAAATTGGATGATGGAGGAGTATTTTGTCTTCCCCTGGGCATGAATATATTAATGAGGTGTGCCATGGGAGACTGCTGATCCACTGAGGAGAGAGAGAAATGAAGGGAAGGGAAGGAGAGTGACATTTGATATAGAAAGACAATGAACCATAGTGCAGTTTTCCTCACAAACAATTTACCAACTGATCGTCAACGAATGTGTTGACCTGCACATCTGCTTAATGATCAAACAACATTTACAGTCATTTATTCTTCTATCAGAGATGGTTCATAAATGGTTAAAGCAAAGGTTTTTGCTCGTTACTTTTCAGAATTCAGAATTTGAGAATTGGCTGCCTTTAATCTATGAATATGAAATGAATAGGCCATTTAATTGAAGTTTCAATTGCAATGACAGAAAAAGGAATGAATGAATTGCAATTCAAAGATATTCAACACAGTCACACAGAGAGATTTTAGTAGTTTTGCAAGAAAACATAAATAATTTTGTCATTCATTTTGACTTATTCTGACTTTTGACCCCCATTAGGGGTCTCCACAGCAGATCATCCACATAATTATTTGTTTTACAGTGAATATCCTTCCTATTCATTTTGACTTGTTATACCTATTCACTCCCTAATATGTACAGCAAAATGCTTTTTTTTTTTACATGTATCCATTAAAATGGTCAAAAAAACACCATCAAAATAAATTAATAATTTTGGGATAAATTAGAGAATCCTTGCAAATGAACTGTTCCTCCACCATAAATGTATTAATTTATTAAATATAATGAAAATGTATTTATGAAATAAATAAATTGTATATATTCATATTTGAAGATATCGTTTTTTTTTTATCAGCAATTCATATTGAAAAATCAAATATATTTTAAATGTTTTAACTTTAAAATGAATTTCATTTAATGTAATTTTATTTCTATTCTACTTGCTGTTTGCAACCTTACTGTTTGCATTGAATGTAAAGAGTTGGTTTACTTAGATATCAGTGTTTTGTTGTATATAACATCACTGTCAGTTTTTACATGCATGGGGTAAAGGATAATGTAAAGGCAAAATTTCAGAAAAAGCTAAACTGACATATTTTACTATTACATGTACTGGTTATTTCATCTGTAGACATGATTGCCCCTCTTATCCCAAAATATTTATTTCTTAGAGGAGAAGAGACTCAGAAGGGCAAATGCTGCAGCGCTGCGGTATGCATAGCAATAGCGTACTGATAAGGGCAGTCAACTAGGCTATTGACATTGATCCTGATACTCTCAGACGCCCCTCCTTTAGCTTTTATCCTATTTCTGAAGAGGCTGATCAAGCTTGATCTGAGGCAGAGTGAAGGAGCGAGGACTTCAGCCAGTCTGAGAAGCCCCAAGTGTGCTGTGTTTTCTGATCCAGAACTGTCCGCAAATAATTGGAAGGAAGTACGAGGCATTTTGGACAGATGCTGTCTGTTGCAGTGCTCAAATCTGTGAAGACTTAACTAAACACAGTGCTTCAAAGAAACATTCTTTCTGCAGAGCACCATCAGATGGCTCGCTCGGAATGGAGCGTACAAATGCCGGTTATTAGACTAAAAACCATACTGATTTACACAATAAATCCAAAAAATACCAATGTATGTGTACCATAAAAGTCATTGTATCAGTAAATCTTAAAGGCATAGTTCACCAAAAATGTCATTATCTATTCACCAACATGTCATTTTTTTTTTTCAGTGGAACATAAAAAGAGTTATTCAGCAAAATATCTAGGTTGCATTTTTCAATACAGCAAAGTAACACATTCACACACACACACACACACACACACACACAC